CCTGGCCTCTAGTATGATGTTGAATAGAAGAGGTAAGAATCAACATACTTGTTTTGATCATAGGAGGAAAGCATCTAGTCTTTCACCATTCTGTATTGTTAGCTGAGTATTTCTCATAGATGCCCTTCATCGGGTTAAGGAAGTCCATTCCATTCCTAGTTTGCTGAGAAATTTTTTCATGAAAGGGTGTTGGATTTTATTTAGCTAAGCAGTAGCTTTTAAGAGCCTATTACATATTAAGTGATACATTGTTGATCCGTTTTAAAATTTTTTATAGCTTTTTTAATAGCTTATCTAGAAATGGTTCTGTTAATATATTAAAATTTACTTGGCAAATACTAAAGCTATTAGAATTTTTTAAATGGAAAGGTTCTTGTGGAAGATGTTTACGATTATTATAAAAGCTTGGAAGATGTGTTGGGAGGAGGTAGGGAATCAACTATTCAAAAAAATTGTAAGATATGGGTTGTGGGCACGGAAAAAGAGAAATATATTTTGGGATGAGTATAAATCTAATAATGCTCAGTTTTAAGAGGTTGAAATAAGTTTATGTTTCCCAAATTGGTGTACTTTTTTATCAGGAGTTGTCAGGGTAATAAGAAGCCACAGAATAAAATGGCATTTTAAAAATGTTAGTTTTGTCCAGTGGTATTTAATTAATTTTTTTGCTTTTTTTAAAACGTCAAGGGCCGGCCCGGTGGCGCACTGGAGAGTGCGCCGCTTGGGAGCGTGGCGGTGCTCCCGCTGAGGGTTCAGATCCCATCTGGAGACCGGTTCCCGCTCACTGGCTGAGCGCGGTGCGGGCACAACACCGAGGGTTGCGATCCCGTTACCGGTCAGTAAAAAAGACAAAAAGGAAAAAGAAAAAGTCAAGATATTGCTTTGAAATAATTGTAGATTCACATGCAGTTGTAAGAAATAAAAAGAGTGATCTCATGTATCCTCTATCCAATTTTTTCCAATGGAAACATTTTGCAAAACTGTAGTGATACATCACAACCACAATATATTGTCACTGGTAGAGTAAAGATACTGAACAGTTATGTCACCACAAGGGTGCTTCATGTTGCCCTATAATAGCTACATCCACTTCTTTCTTGCCCCCATTCTTTCCTAAACCTCTGTTAAGCACTAATCTGTTCCCCATTTCCATAATTTTGTAATTTCAAGCATGTTATATAAATGAAATCATAGTATGTAACCTTTTTGTACTAACTTTTTTTACTGAGCATAATTATCTGGAGATTCATCCAGTGTATTGTGTGTATCAGTAGGTTTTCCTTTTTATTGCTGTGTAGTGTTTCATGGTGTGGATGTACCAGTCTGTTTAAATATTCATCTGTTGAAGGATTTTGGTTGTTTCCCCATTTTTGGCTTTACAAATAAAGCTGCTATAAACATTCTTGTGCAGGTTTTTGCGTGAACATAAGTGTTTGTTTCTGTCCCGGCACCTGGATCATATGGTAGTTGCATGTTTAGGTTTTTGAGAAATGGCCACACATTGTCAGGGTAGTTGTACCATTTTACATTACCATCAGTAATGTATGAGTGATCTAGGAATGCATAGTACTCCACATCCTGACCAACACTTGATGTTGTCTCTATTCTTTATTTTAGCCATTCTGGCAAGTATATAGTGATATCTCATCATGGTTTTAATTTGCATTTCCTTAATGGTTTTTGATGTTGATCTTCTTTTCATATCCTTATTTCCCATCTTTGTATCCTATTCAGTGAAATATCTGTGTCTTTTGTCCATTTTCTAACTGGATTGTCTTTTTGTTTTTTTTTAACTGTTGAGTTTTATGTTCTTTATATATGTTAGATACAAGTCCTTTATTGGATATGAGGTTTGCAAATATTTTCTTCCAGCCTGTAGCTGAGAGAGAGGGGCACCTCATTAATTGCTGGGTGGGAATGAAGGTACAGACTCCCACACATGGTCTTATCTGACACTACTGGGGAGCAATAACTCATTATCAGCTGGTAAGGATGAAAGAAGGTCCTGGGCTCCTACTTGGCCTTCTCTCACCACCCTGGCCTGGGTGTTGGGATGCCTCATTATGGTTTTGCAAGGATAGAAGTATAGGTTCCTTGGCCTTTTCTGGTGTAGGTGTGGGTATGGCTACAGTTTTTTCTGTAGTAGGATGGTTATTACCTAAACGTTTTTTGTCTTGCTAGGCTGTACCTTTACTGCTTTTTTAACTAGGGAGAGCAAGTTTTTGTTAGGGTTTTTGTCTGTGTCTGTTGTTCCTGGATTGCTGGCTTCTTCAGCTCCAAGCCTAGATAGATGAGACAAAAAGAAAACCCAGGAATCTCACCATTGTGTCATTCCTCAGGTCCCAAGACCCCTAGCCAGTCTGTCTTTCAGATATCTTTCAGATTCTTCTTAGATTTTTTTTACATATAATGTCCAGGGGGGTTAGTTCTACTTAGCAGGAGGAATACGGAAAAGTACATCTACTCCATCATCTAGGAAGAGGTGGCATAATTTAAAATATTTTCATATGAAATCATTTGTTTCTATATCATCAAATAGAATGCCAAATTATAATAACTTTATAGGTAAAACACAGAAGCCTCAAATAAATTTTATATTTATGGTAGTTTGGGGCACTGATCCTATGCCCCAGGAAAAAGTACTGGTTTTTCCTATTCTTAACAGGTAAAAAAAAATAGGGTATAAGCCACGCCTCTGTAATAGAGAGCCAAAAACACAATGGTTCAAATAAGATGGAATTTTTTTTTTCTTTCTTGTCCTGGTCAAGGGTAGGAAAGTCAGCTCTGTTCCTTGAAGTCATCCAAAGACCCAAGCTGGCTGGGCAACTGAGCTGTCCTTAACGGCTTCTGAGGTTGTTCCAGTCATCACCATTTTCAACTGGAAAGAATAATGGTATTGGTAGTGGTGGTGGTATTGGAGGAACATGGAGGTTTATTTATTTATTTATTTATTTATTTATTGAATCATAATTGATTATACATATTTTGGGGGTTCAGTGTTGACATATGCTGATCAAATCAATATTACTTGAATATATATTGTTACAAATCATTCTTATTCTTTATGCCCCTTATCCAATCTCTCCCTTTTCCCCCTTTTCCCCGCTCTGCCTAGATTTCTTCTCTCCTTCTGAAAGAGTAATGGTTACTCTGATGATTTGTTGCCTAGATGATCTGTCCAATGCTGAGAGGTGTGTTCAGGTCCCCCAATATTATCGTAGAGCAGATGCTTCTTCTGTCTCTCTGGAATCGGCTTTGTGGAGAGACACATTCTCTTCTTTGGTCTCTGCCGGTGACTCTCCTTGTGTCAATGTATTCCAGTGGCTGGTGGACCATCTGCATAGTGGTTGTGGCGTCTAGCTGGTTTCACGGTAGCTGTGGTTATTGTGGTGACTGTGGTGGGCCACCCACATGGAGGGGATGTTTTTGGCATGCTCCTTACCTATTTGCCAGTGGCTCTCAGCTCCATACCTCAGGACCCCAGGTGGGCCCCATGGCACTGACAGTGTGCCTTGTTGTGGGAGGAGGGTCCGGTCCCTGGCTCTATGCCTCAGGGCCCTGGGCAGGCCCCATAGCACTGGTGGTGTGCCCAGTTGTGGGAGGAGGGTCCAGTCCCTGGATCCGTACTCCAGGACCCCGGGCGGGCCCCAGTGGTACCCTGTTTTTTCTTTCAGTTCTGTATTGGATTATTTACTGTTCCCACCCCTTAAACTCTGTGTTAGAACTAGTTTGTCGTCCTTTGCTTACTTCTAAAGTGGGGGAACTTCCTGTGGGGACCAGTACTTGAGCTCTGTGGTTGAGCTAAATTGCCGCTTTGCTGCTGATTCCCTGGGGAGGGCTTTTTGTGCAGCACTGGTTTTAATGGTTGACTCTATAGGTGCTTCCGGATTTAGTGAAGTCTGCTGCACCTAGGTTGTGTAGAAACAGTGGTCTGGGCCTGAGTGTTTTCATCAGACTGCACCCCCTGCAGTTCTGTATTCCTGACCAGTCTCCACTGAGTGGTCCCACTCTGATTGGGGTGCAGATAGCTGTCCTTGCTGTGCCCCGGTGGGCCCATCTCCCCTGCCACCTGTGCTGCAGACATTTCCCGTGGGACGGGCCATGCTTCAGTCCCTTGCGATGAATCACCGGCCTCTGAGTGGCTCCTTTTTTTCATTTGTTGTGGCTCCTTGGTCCTATGTGGATCCACAGGGACCCTGTTAGTGGTCTTACTGGCCTGGGGTCCGCTAAGGCCCTCTTCTCCCATGCCTCCTCCAAGCAACTACATCCAAAGGGTATAGCTGTGGCTTTTGCTGGCTCCTGCTCCACACGCTCAGCAGCTCCAGCCTGGAAACAGCTGGGATTAGAAATGGTCAGAGCTGTTTTTTCTTTCTCTCATCATGGCTTCTCCCACCTTCATGTACTCTGTAGGTCTCTCCTCCTCTTCCCCTGAGCTGTAGCAGTTCCAGCTTGACTGTCGTTGCTTTTTAATAGTTGTAAATTAGTTGATTTGTGGGAGAGAGTGACACTGGGGACCATCTATTCCACCTTCTTGACCGGAAGTCCTCGAACGTGGAAGTTTAAAAATTGATCTTAAGGACAGGAAGCAGAGGTTGCACTTAATGCCTTTGCTCACATCCCATTGGCCCTAGTCATATAATCACAACTAGCTGCAAAAGAAACAGGAAATGTCTCCAGTTTGGTAGCTATGTGGCCAGCAGAAGTTTGGGTGAGGGACTTCTATTACTAAAGGAGAGAAGGTAAGAATACATACTGGTAATAGTAGTCTTTGCTGTAGTTACTTTAATAGAAAAATTTTAGAAGAACTCTACTGAATGGTCTTAATTATCACGAGCCATTTTATTCTGTAGTTAACTATCTTTTTCTGGCTGCTTTTTTGACCTGTTTTATTATTATAAAAGAATGACATGACCTTCATGGCCAAATGTTAGCCTTTATATAAAAGTGATGTGTATAACTATTTGGACTATTTCAAGTAAGATCCCATTTATATCTTGTAGGGTCTACAGAGTCCACAGGGAATAAGATGCAAGCCAGAAGCTGTATGTAGTCACATTATTATTGAGAGCCATGAGAAAGGATGTTTCAGGACTCTAACTGCTGAACAACCACAACTGGACAGCCACCCTTATGTTTTCAGATCTCCTGAACCCTCAGAAATGATCAGAGGACGGCAGAGTCCATCATCGTGGAGAGCCAGGCATATCAACCTTTCAACATCACTAGACCAGAGCAACCCCCATTTCAAAGTTTGGAATTCTTTGCAGTTACAAAGTCATTCCCCACTTCAAAACCTAATACCTGATGACTTCAAAATTAGCGAGGGTCTTCGAATGCCATTCCGAGAAAAAATGGACCCTTGGCTGTCGGAATTTGTAGAACCTATTTGTGTGCCACCTAAAGAAGTGGATTTTCATTCTTTGTCACAAATGCCGCCCCCAGAACCCATGAAAAAGTTTACTACCTCCATCACTTTTTCTTCTCACCGACATTCTCAATGCATTTCAGACTCCTCTGTTCTTAAGGTTGGTGTTACTGAAGGTAGCCAGTGTACTGGAGCATCTGTGGGGGTATTTAATTCTCATTTCACTGAAGAGCAAAATCTTCCTAGAGATCTAAAACAGAAAACCTCTTCCCCTTCATCATTTAGAGTGCTTAGTCATTCACCAGATAAAGATGTGACTATTTTAGCAGAAGGTAATAGGCAAAGCCAAAAATTACCTGTTGATTTTGAGCATTCTCATCAAGAAGAAAAACTCTTAGAGAGAACAGATTTTAAAGTCAGTCATTCTGAGCCCAGTACCAGTGCAAATTGTAGTGATTTCAAGGAAATTCAAATTTCTAGTAACCAGGCCCTCATTAGCATGGGCAGACCAAGTTCCACATTAGGAGTAAGCAGACTGAGTTCCACACTAGGAGTAAAAAAGAAGACTGTGACTATAACTCCAGATCTTCCTTCGCACATTTTTCTTGAACAACAAGAGCTCTTTGAACAAAGCAAAGCCCCACATGCAGATCACCATATGAGAAAACACCATTCTCCCCCTTGTCAGCATCAGGATTATGTAGCTCCAAACCTACCTTCTTGCATTTTTCTTGAACAACGAGAACTCTTTGAACAAAGCAGAGCCCCACATGCAGATCATCAGATGAGAGAAAACCATTCCCCCCTTCCTCAATGTCAGGATTATATAGCTTCAGACCTTCCCTCTCCCATTTTTCTTGAACAATGTCAAAGCAAAGCCCCAGGTGTAGATGACAACATGAGAAAAAACCATCTCCCCCTTCCTAAAGGTCAGGAGTGTGTAGTAGAAAAGAATAATCAACATAAGCCTAAATCTCACATTTCTAATATGATAAATGTTGAAGCCAAATTCAGTAATGTGGTCTCTCAGTTGGTCCCAAATTACAATACATTATCAACATCTGCATCTACTCCACCTTCAAATAGAAAAGCACTTTCTTGTGTTCGTATAACTCTTAGTCCCAAGACTCCTTCCAAGTTGGATAGTGGAACCTTAGATAAAGGATTTCATTCATTGGATCCTGCTACTAAAACAAGGATGAATAGTGAGTTTAACTCTGACCTACAAACTATATCTTCGAGACCACTGGAATCAACCTCCAAATTATTGACCAGTAAACCTATAGCACAGGATCAAGAATCTTTAGGTTTTCTAGGACCTAAATCTTCACTGGACTTCCAAGTTGTACAGTCTCCTCTTCCAGATAGTAATACTGTTACTCAGGACTTGAAAACCATACCTTCTCAGAATAGCCAGATAGTAACCTCAAGGCAAATACAAGTGAACATTTCAGATTTGGAAGGATATTCCCGTCCAGAGGGGACTCCAGTATCTTCAGATCGGTGAGTCTCATTGTGATAACAAGCAAGCCGATGGAATTTGTGATAGTTTAAAATACTTAAACAAATGTAAGTTTGTGGGGGAAAGGCAGTATGATTTCTCTTAGCGGAGATTGTATCTGACTAATCTGCTAGAAGTCTTTCAAAGAATATATAAGTAAGAGAACATGTTAATATGTTTATACTTAAAAAGGACTTTTGGCAAGACTTGACATCAAGTGTTCTAAAAATTGAAGTATTTTGAGAAGAATCTTTAATCATCCAATGGTACAGTTTTCTAATTCCTTCCTTATTTATTGTGTTGGAGATATTCTCAAGGGAGGTTGTGCTCTCTCTCTCATTCTCTCTCTTTCTCTGTCTCCCACCCCCCTCCCTTTTCCCTCTCTGGTTCCATTTCATGATTTCCCTTAGTATTTAGAAAGAAAAAAAGTAACTTTACAGTAGAATGGCAGATATCACTTTGGCCAAGTGATTAAGGTTAACATCACCGGTAATGCATATCAACATAATGTACTTCCTGATACAATGCCCCACCTCACAATATATTGTAGGGAAAGGAAACCCAATTCAGGGATAAATGCATTAGATTTATATTATTCAGCCTAATTTTAGCACTTTGTCATTAATTCAGTTTTACCTTAATGAGTCTCTTATAATATGGCTAAACAGAATTACCTGTGTGTTTAATGTTTCTACCTTACATTTGAGAAGGCAGCATACCATAGTGGAAAGCACTGGGCTTGGGAGGAAGGGGAAAAAAAATGTTTAGTCAACATCCACATGTGGTGGTCATGGCAATGAGGAACTTACATATGCTATCTTATTTAGTCCTCTTGATGACCCTGTGGGGTAGGTGATGATATTCTTGTCTACCCACTGGAAAACAAGACACTGACATTGCTGCTTGTGCCAAGTGATGCTGTTTCTAAGCAGGACAGTGGGCATTCGAATGCAGTCTGTCTGATCAAAGCAAGAGCTTGCTCTCCTACACAGTACTCTCCCAGAATCTTATCCTACTTTCAGCCTATCTTCCAGCCATGATCTTGGACAAGTCATTTAATATCTTTTCCACTGATATGTGGGAGATGGTGGAGGAAAGGATTGGAAAACTGAAAGGTCCCTTACAGCTTTAAAAGTTAGTGATTGATTTTTTTTTTTTTTTTTTTAAAGATGACCGGTAAGGGGATCTTAACCCTCGACTTGGTGTTGTCAGCACCACCCTCAGCCACTGAGCTAACCGGCCATCCCTATATAGGATCCGAACCCGTGGCCTTGGTGTTATCAGCACCACACTCTCCCGAGTGAGCCACAGGGCCGGCCCGTGATTGATTTTTTTTTTTTTTTTTTAAAGATGACCGGTAAGGGGATCTTAACCCTCGACTTGGTGTTGTCAGCACCACCCTCAGCCACTGAGCTAACCGGCCATCCCTATATAGGATCCGAACCCGTGGCCTTGGTGTTATCAGCACCACACTCTCCCGAGTGAGCCACAGGGCCGGCCCGTGATTGATTTTTTTTTTCTCTTGAAGTTCAGTGGTTGGGGGCCTGTGGTAGCTGCTCCAGTCACTAGGGATGGGTGGCAACTAGCTTGAGGGTGAGTACCCTAGCATTTGCCTGTAGTTAAGATGAGTTTACCCCTCAGTCTCAAACTTTTCCTGAGTGCATTAACAGGAAAGCCAGTGATGGTGAAACTTAAGTAGGGAATGGAGTACTAGGGCTACCTGGTATTAGTGATGGCTTGTTGAATATGCAGCTTGCAAATATGAGGGTCCTTGAAAAAATTTATGGAAAAATAAAATTAAAAGATAATACTAGTATTTCCATGAACTTTTTGAAGACTGCCTCTTATAGAAGGATATGTAGATGGTGAGTTATCTAGACATCTGGATAAAATAATGTTCTTTATATTAGAGGTGTAGAAGAAGAGGAAGAAGATGGGGAAAAGAGAATAGCATCTTTTGTGGGGGATTTTAAAAATATGTATGTCTTGTATTGAATATCCCACCAAAAATTAATCCCCACTGTGACAGTCTTAAGAGGGTAGGACATGCTTCTGTGGGAGTTGAAAGGTGGGGACTTGAAGAAGTGATTGGGTTGGGAGGATTGTACCCTCATGAACGGACTGATTTATTCTTGGAATAGTGAGCATGGTGCTGAGGGCTTTAAAAGGAGAGCACACGAGGAGCTATCTCTCTCTCTCTGCTGTGCCATTCTGCCACTTGAGCCGCCCCTGGGTCACTGTTGCCACCAATAAGACCGTTACCAGATGTGTTCCCTGGACTTTGGACTTCCTAGCCTCCAAAACTGTAAGCAATAAATTTTGTTTTCTTATAAATCACCCGGGTCCAGGTATTTTGTTATAAACAACAGAAATGGACTAATACAATGTATTTCTAGACAATACAGATTTTTTTGTTTTTCAACTTGAAAAAAAAGTTAGTGATTGAGAATTGGATTGAGGCAAAAAAAAGAGTCTCTCTTGTTGATTGGTGCTATAGAGATCAGTACTGATACTTTTTCTTTTGAAAATTGTTTAGAAATTAAAAGATTGACAAATTTATATACAGTAGTTTAAACTCATCAATGTTTATTTTTATTTATTTATTTATTTTGGTGGCTGGCCAGTATGGGAAAGTGAACCCTTGACATTGGTATGATGAGGCCACAGTCTAACCAACTGAGCTAACTGGCCAGAGTTTAAATGCAAAGTTATTGGAACTGAATTCCTTGAAAATCAGACAAGGCTATGAATGAGAAGAAAATAATAGATTATTATAAATATGAATTAATAATAATGCCATTTATTCAGAATGTACTAAATGCCAGGCATTGTAGTGGATGTTTACATCATTTTATACTTAGTATACTCATCAGAGATAGTTATTATTACCTCATTGATAGATTTTGAAAACCTGAGTTTTAGAGAAATTAAGTGTTTTGCCCAAAATCACATGGCCATTAATTGTTTGGATCAGACCAATGTAGGATCAGACAAACCTACATTAATTTAAATGTAGGTTTGTCTGATCCCAGAGTCCATAAATAATTCAGACTACACATGTGTGTGAGTATAAATGCATAAAACATATATGTAAATATATGTGTAAAATATTTTAAAACTTTTTGTACCTTCCAGCCACCAAAAAATTTTTTTAAAAAAATTTTGCAATAACTTCAGACCTACAGAGGAGTTGCAGAAATAGTACAAGGAGTTCCTGTATTAGTTATCTATTGCTGTGTTATTTATATTTATATTACTCTGAAATATATCAGCTTAAAACAGAAAACATTACCCCTCAGCTTCTGTAGGTCAGAAGTCCAGGCATAGCTTAGCTGGGTGTTTTTGGCTTAGGTTTTCTCAGAAGGTTGCAAATGAGGGATTGGCCACAGCTGTGGTCTCTTCTCACAGCTCAGCTGAGAAGATGTACATCCAAGCTCACTCACATGGCAGTTGGCCGGAGATATCAGTTCCTTCCCTCTATAAAGCAGCTCACAATATGACATTTAAGCTTCCCTTAGAGTGAGCAAGTGAGAGAGCAAGAGAGGGCACCCAAGACAAAAGCCACAGTCTTTTTGTAACCTAACCTTGGATGTGACATCTTGTCACTCTGCTACATTTTATCAGGTAGGAATGAGTCCCTATATGCAGCTCAGGAGTTACACAAGTGCATGAATACCAGGAGGTAGAGATCAATGGGGGTATCTTAGACATTGCCTATATACCCTTTACAGAAGCTTCCCCTTATGTTAACATTTTACCATAACATCATAAGCATAAAATATTTATCAAGACTAAGAGATTGTCCTTGGTATAAAACTATAACTATAGACTGATTTGGATTTCACCAGGTTTTTCCACAAATGAACTTTTTCTGTTTCAGATCCAACCCAGGATCCCATATTGCATTTTAGTTGTCATGTCATCTTAGTCTCCTCTAACCTGTGACAGTTTCTCAGTCTCTCCTTGTATTTCATGACCATGACACTTTGAAGAGTACTTATTAGTTATTTTGGAGAAAGTCCTTCAACTTGGCTTTGTGTGATGTCTCAGGATTAAATTGAAGTTATACATTCTCAATACATCACATCAGAGAACAGATTATGTTGATGTGCTTTACTGGTGATGTTAACCTTGATCACCTGGCCAATGTGGTGTCTACTAGGACTCTCCACTATGAAGTTTCTGTTTTTCCTCTGTAAATCCTAAGTATTTGAGGGAGAAACTGTGAAACTATGCCAATATTCTGTTTCTGCTTAAACTTTGGGCACTAATTTTAACATTCATCAGTGGATTTTGGCTGTGACAATTATTAGTCTGGTTTTCTAATGATGTTTTTCTATGTATTTCTTTTCTTCTACATTTTTTAATTGGAATTCTTCTGTAAAAAAGAACTATTGTTGGGCCGGCCCGGTGGCGCACTGCTACAGTGCGCCGCTTGGGAGCGCGGCGGCGCTCCCGCCGAGGGTTCGGATCCCGCATACAGACAGGTTCCCACTCACTGGCTGAGCGAGGTGTGGGAGCAACACCGAGGGTTGCGATCCCGTTGCTGGTCCCGGTCCGGTACGGGCGCGACACTGCGGGTTGCGATCCGTTGCCGGACATGAAAAAAGACAAAAAAAAAAAAAAAAAGAACTATTGTTGGGCCGGCCCGGTGGCGCACTGCTACAGTGCGCCGCTTGGGAGCGCGGCGGCGCTCCCGCCGAGGGTTCGGATCCCGCATACAGACAGGTTCCCACTCACTGGCTGAGCGAGGTGTGGGAGCAACACCGAGGGTTGCGATCCCGTTGCTGGTCCCGGTCCGGTACGGGCGCGACACTGCGGGTTGCGATCCGTTGCCGGACATGAAAAAAGACAAAAAAAAAAAAAAAAAGAACTATTGTTGGGCCGGCCCGGTGGCGCACTGCTACAGTGCGCCGCTTGGGAGCGCGGCGGCGCTCCCGCCGAGGGTTCGGATCCCGCATACAGACAGGTTCCCACTCACTGGCTGAGCGAGGTGTGGGAG